TATTTGTTCTGTTTTAAATTAGTGCATATTGTTGTGTTAGTTTATTTAGCTCGCTTTTTTAAAACTTTCCTTTCCTCTATTAGGATGACATGTTTATGAAAGCAGTACATTGTCTAGCTGGGAAAAATAAGAGCAGAACCTTATAACACTGCCCAGTCTTTTCCATGGAGTACGCACTGCCATGCTAGTAACTGCATTTTCAGACACCGGAGGGAAAGTTAAAATTAGCGCTACAAAAGAGGCTCACCAGATTGATACGAGTACATAAAAATTTAAGCCAGTGTCATGAGTTTTGGTGACAAGTGGCCTTGTTTCAAGTACCTCTCTTGCCAGCATGCGCATCAGCAAATACAGCAAGGATTGTGTTGGGGACAGTGTGGAGGCGAGAAAGAGGAGGACGGAGTCTTGGTCGTTAGGGGACGTGATGTTTTAGCAATATTTAGGCAGCTCATTTACAGAGTGATGTCTTGTGTGGAAATGTAGGTGGGATGAGGATGAAAACAGTGCGTTCCTGGGTGGGGGGATGCTGTCTTTAATGGTGCAAAACTTGCATGTAGGAGGAAGCAGGCGAGAGATGCTGATAAGCTTCATGTTTACGCTTTCGGTCTTAAGTCTCCACGTAACTGGCTAGCTGAGAGGCCATATGAATCAAAATCAGTCTTCTTAAGTATGTTTTCTTTAAATTTATAAGTAATGTAGTTGACCATTAAATTGTATTTAATTATTTTCTGGTTATAAAAGATACTTAGTTTTATAACCAACAAATGTTGAGTTTTTCTGCTGTTTAAAGTCCACATTTTAATGTTTTTGTAATGCATTATAAAGTATAGAGGTTACTGCATCCATGGAGTCTGATTTCTGTGCATCAATTTTCAGAATTTGTATCATTTTAGTTTAAAAATAGAGTCATTTTGATGATATTACAAAATGTGATTCATTACTATGCGCTTTTAGAGATACTGCATTTTTGCTTGTGATCAGTTGTCATCCTGAATGAAATATATTTAACAAAAACACAGTGTTCTGGAGTGTTACCCTTGATCTTAAACTCAAGGCAAACTTTGATCAAAGTGTTAGGAAAACCTCTCTCATCAAATCTGTTAAGAGTTTCTTCCACATCCATGTGGAACTTCGGTGATGTGTGCACATATGTGCACATGTGCATCTGTATGTGCCTACACATGTATGCATGTACATGCAGATGCACGCATGAGACAGATTCCCACTGTGCTTCCCAGGCTGGTCTTGAACACCCGACGCGGCAGCCCTCCTGCCCCAGGCTTTCTCATAGCTCTGTGTGCCAGCCTCAGCCTCATCGTTGTCTTCTTGCCAGCATTTGCTCCCGAGAACAGAATGAATTTCTTCTCTTGGCTTCTGGAAGTTTCTTGCTGCTCTCGCAGTTTCTTCACCCAGATCTTCCTTTCTCAAGGACTCTGCTGGGGTCAGTTCTCAGCTACCTTCTTTGTCAGTGTTCAGCAATCTCAGTCATTGCATGTACAGTAACTATTTACAGGGCTGGAGATGTAGCTCAGCGGCCCAAGTGCCTGCCTGGCAAATGCAAGGTTGTGAGTTCAATTCCCAAGCCAATAAATAAATAAAAATAAACTATATACTGGTAATGCTTTGGAATTGTCCAATCTTCCGTCTTTTTTATGTAAAATTACTTTGACAACTTGTTACAGAAATAAAAATGGTTTGGACTGGGCACACAGCTGGGTGGCAGTACACTTGCCTGCCATGCTGGAGGTCATGGTTTGATTCCTAGTGTCACACAAAACCAAACCAAATGAAGCCAAACCAAACCAAAATAAAGGTTTATAAAACTTTACTCATTAAAAATGATACTTGATTTTTCAACCCAACTCTACTTCTTTCTGAGTTCCATGCTTCTGTGAATGATAATGCTAGTTTGAACATTTTGTTGGATTAGAAAATTAAGAATTATTGTTCATTCTCTCTTTCATAGCCCATGACCACTTAATTATCAAATCTTCATCTCCACATTCAAAGTGCATATCGCACGAGGCACACTTCCCTTCACGCGCACTGCTATCACCGTGTCCCATCTCCTCCCTGAGGTACTCCCAAGAGCCTGATTTCTATCTGCTGGACAGAAGGCAGGTCTAAGAATCACACCTATTGACATGTTCTCTGTATTACAAATGCTTGTGCGCCTCCTTCTTATATTAGCGCAGTACTCAAGCTTTGCTCTGGTTCACAAGACTGCACAGCATGTGGTCTCTGTTCCAGGGGTCTTTCCTGCATCTTGCCACATCTCCCTGTCCTCACAGATCTCCCCTCTCTTTCTCATTCAGTATCAAGTCTTTGCAAATATCCTAGCCTTAGGAGGGAGGTCTTTTCAGCCTCTGAAAATACTAGCTTAACTTTTTACCTTCTTGCTCTCTCTTATTTTTCTGAAGAGGGTCCATCAACAATTGAAATTATATCACACACATTTTAAGAATGTTTTGGTATTACTGACCTCTCTACTACAATGTAAGTTTCAAGAAAGAGCCACCTTTATTTTGCTCATCACTTTGTTCCTATATTTATATCAAAACATGTTATTTTAGCAGGCCTTCATAAATATTTATTGAATTAGTGAATGAGGGCCAGGGAGATGGCTCAGTGGAATAAGTGCTTCCCTGGCAAGTGCAAGGGCCTGAGTTCAATCCCTGGTTCCACAAAAAAAAAAAAAAAAAAGAAAAGTGAATGAATGATATACATTTAAGAAGAGAAAAGTGGTCCACATCTTGAAATCCTCATGATTGCTGCAGGGTACAATAGCGTCACACCAATACAGTGACTCGTGGTGATTGCATCAATGACAGGCCTTTAGGATAGACAAGGTTGAGATCACGGTGTGAGGACCCCCACTGAGCTGCAGGAGATAGGCCCGCAGCACCCCAGGCCCCCGAATGCACATGCGACTTGCTAAATTGCACGCCGGACACCTGTCCCCCGGATCCGCCTGGGGGATCTAGGGTGGACACACACTTGGCTCATTATTTTTAAGAGGTTGCACTCCTTGGAGTCAGAACTTAAACCAAGGATTTGCACTTATGCACTGTAACATGAGCGTGCTTGCAGAGAAGGCCTACAGGGCAGGGAAAAATGTTGCCCGGGAGGTCAAGCAAGTGTGTGACTCCAAGGGCCGGCCAAATAGCTCAGCAGATTAAAGCACCTGCAGGCAGACACAGGGATGGGGGGTTTGATCCCCAAGCCTCCTGTGCTGGCCCCGCCCCTGGGACGCACTGAAATGGCAATTGAGACTAGGCACGGTGGTGCACACCTGTAATCCCAGCTCTTGGGAGGCTGTAAACAGGCGAATCTCTATGAGTCCGATCTAGTAATAAGACCCTGAACATCCTGTAGATCCTTCCCCAAAATGCAAAAAAAAAAAAAAAAAAAAAAAAAAGTGCGTGACTCAGATAATCTGACCTGGGACTGGTGCATACAGCATGGGCTCTGCACTGCAGGTTGCACCAGGACATTATTTCTCCTTGTGGCAAGAGACTAGGATAAATTGGGGTAAATTGGGCATTGGGTTCAGCTGCCTTGTGAGGGCGATGTAACGTCCCAGGCAGGGCAGGTATCCAAGGGAAGCCAGTTCTCCAGAGGAGGAGTTGAGAACCATTATCAGCCAACAGTCCCGGCAGCTGGGGGACACTGCACTGGCCCAGGAAGGAGACCTGGGCCAGCGGCCACCATTAGTCATATGAAAACGAGCTGACTGCGAAGCTCAGACATTCATTCTTTCAGCACGTATTTTTAGTGGCCTGTCCCAGGCTAAGTACTTTCTGTTGCTGAGATTCAATGATGAATAGACATGGTGCCTGCAGCGGGCATGGGGAGAAACAGATATTGATCAAATATATCTGCAGCTATCATAAGACACTACTGGATTATTGTGCCAATAATGAACTAGAGCACGATTATAAAAATAAGCCCATGATATTATGCAGTCAAGTAATTTTTAAAAATACTTCTTGCAGTAACTCTGAGATTATGTAAATTCTTACCACAGTAATCGTTATCTAATGCTAGCTGTATGTTCATCAAATAGTTATCAGGCATTATTTGAAAATGCAAATAGAATTTAAAAATGTGTTTCAACACTGGAATCGTTATTGTGTGCAAAGCCTCTACCTATCATTGTTTGAAACAACCAGCCGATTTTCTCTTACTGGAAGTCGAAGCACAGTAAGAATTGAAAATTGTAAACGCAGCTGGTTGGATGCCTGTTCCCTTTTGTCTTTTCAAGCTATTCTCTTCATTCCTACCCCTGTCTGACAAGCAAGGCAAAAGCAACACCTGTGTGAGAGGCGGTGATCTTGCTACCATGGAATATTCCAGTCCGTCTTCGGTTGTTCTTTCCTTCTCTCCCCGTCCCCATTGGTCGTTTCTTTTCCCATATACTTATTACACATGACTTACCATAATTTCCTAGTCCTTGTGGAGGCCACAACTTACTGGAAGTCACTGAATTGCTACACAACAGTCACTATTAGTAGTCGATATTATGTGCTAAAAATAGCAATATTTAATGAATAAAAAGACATTTGAACAAGTAGATACAGATCCCTGCATTCCAGGAAAAGTCTGAGAATTTGATATTGACATAGAACATCTGAGATAAATCCAAAGAAAGTAAGAAGAAATTTTGATTTTGCACATTTCATTATCATGCATACATAAGAACATTTAAGTCACTAATAAATTACCTGGGGCCAGTAAATACCTGAAATTCCTGATTTTAACTAACCCTCTATTTTAGTCTCTTTTTTGTATCTTTGCATAGTGCTGTGGTGAGAACTATACTGAACAATAAGTCAGCTAATGAGGGCTGTAGTGCCTGTCAGTAAAACCGTGTCTCTTACTTTAGCACAGAGAAGAATTTCAAAGGAATAAATGCTGTCGAGTGTCACCAAACCACCTCCTGAGGAGGAGGTGGCACCGGCAGATGTAGCAAAGCTCATTTTCGGTAATTCTGTCCATACCTCAAATCCCTGCGGTCTTCCTAGACTCTCTTTAATGTGCTTCCATGCAACAAGGATCTCTGACACAGACATGCTGGTAGCCTGGACATCCGTGGGAGCGGCGCTGGGCTCTGTAGGAAAGGGAGTGGGAATAAAACGCTGTGAGCGCAAGCGTGTCCCACACAATAACGCCCCCGCACTGCCCAGGTGTCCGCGGCTCCCGCCGTTGCTTTGACAATGAAATGCTCTGGTAGTTAGGGAAACAAAAGCTAGAAAAGATGATCTTGTTGTGCCTCTATGTTGAAGTTGTTCCATCAGGACCTTAACGAAAAATCACAAAGCCAGCAAGACAAGCAGAGGAGGTCCCTATCCTTGGACTGGCCACGCCAGCTGGAGAGGATTTCCGTGGTCTGAGTAAGGTTGTCTGCCGATCTATGGTATCGCTGAAGAGACGGGACTATGGCTCAGGGCTGGAAAATGTTGCTGCTGAGTTGTTTTCCCTCCTTTCAAAATTTGTGGTGGTCTAATTCACACATGTAAAATCACGTCTCCCTAATGTACAATTCTACACTACAGGTCTAGTAAATGAAATAATGCATGTTAAATAAACCTTAGGTAAACTGCTTTACCTCCTTCTGGTACCTAGTTCCACCTTCCGTAACATGGGCACAATATGAGTATTATCTCATAGATCTTAAGACTAGTTTTAATTATTATAAGACATATAAAGTAGGTAGCGCTATAGTTGGCACTTAAAGTGGGCATTCACAAGTACTTGCTCATTGTGCAGGAACAAACAGAATCTAAACCGCATCAAACACTTTTTGATGCCCAACTGCAGAGCTGCATTTCTATGATCTCACAGGAAATGCGTCATGAATCATGATGTTCAAAAGGCAGGCAGTGACTTTTAAGACAGGTGTGAGCCGCACTGAAAAGTGCCTGGAGGTCTTGGTGCCAGTGCTCAAAACTCCTTCGCATTTGTTTCTCTGCTTAGTGACCTTTCACACTAGTTTTTTAAGTACACAGAGTGTGACTGGCATCTGTCCAGAGGTGCTTTTGATTTCAGGCTGCATGGTCTGTGAGCAACAAAATATTTCTAGTTTTGACATGAGCGAATCATAAATACTGTCACAAACACATGTTAAATGAAATGGCAGAATAAAGGCTATATATTAGGTCAAGGAGTTCTGTGTAAAGTCTATTTTTTAAAAATCACACCTTGCAAAAATTGTAGAAAATTTTTATACTCACCCCATATCACTGGTAAGAATTCAGATTAATGTGTTAAACTTATTTTTTTCAGATTCAGAACACCAAAGATAGCACAGATAACAAAGACAGAGTTCTACACAAGATTTTTGAAAGTCGTTATGACAGACATTGAAAGAAGTGCTGCCTTTTCTGAGATCTTTCCTTTTCTATAGAAAAAGAGACACATATCTACCTAACGCTTTTGAATATTATTAATTGAAAAATATCAGTCTCATTATTGTGAAAGCAGCCCACAGAATAAGACATTTTCCACAGGTATATGTTTTTATCCAATAGTGCTTTTCTTTAGGTAAAGCTTTCATTAAATCATATGATATAATAACAAAAAGTGATTTGGTAAGGCCACATTGATCTTTGTACTAAGGATGACATTAACTCCTGTCGTGGTATGAATTGTAGACACTTGCTCCGTCACCCTTTGAATGTTTTCCGTTATTTTCTTTTTCATGGTTTCACTCATCCAACTGCCCGACTCCCCAATACCCAATGTTTTTAAAAAATTCCTTCTGGGAAAACTTCTAGTTAATAGTAGTTAAAAGTTTTGGCTTTGTAATGAAATGAAAGGGAATGCTGATGTTTTGAGGTGTGCATGGCTTGATCTCTAGGATGTAGAATATGATTTACTTCTCAGGGAACCACATTTTGCATATCATTTGCTATTCAGTTGCTGTTTGGCTTCTGTATTTAGAATGATTGTGTTGCAGAGATTTGTGTGCCAAATGCCTTCTTTCAGCTTTTATATTACTGAAGCAATTATATCTTTGTCAAAGAAGATTGCAGGGGGATAAATAATTTGAGAAGCACAAAACATGTGGTTGGGTGACAGCATTTCTATCCCTCTTTATCTTTAGAGAAAGAAATTACTTCTCTATCAGCTTTGAGGAGCATTATACAAGTTTAAATACCTCTCAGAAAGAAACTGAAAAAAAAAATCCCTGAAAACTAAGTAAAGGAAAAAGACAAATGTTCAGAAACCTACTTGTATTCAGGCATCTTAATTTCTATTTGAAAGCTCTGAGGATTTTAAATCGGGTCACCTGATATTTCAGAGTTGCGTTCTTGGTCTTTCTTACATCATGGGTGCATCGAATTGAATGAGGGCAAAAGACTCTGCAAGAGCTACTTTAATTTGTTTCACCTTTTTGATCTAAATAGTATCAGACATAGGCCACTGCTGTCCTGAATTGGCAATTTCAGCATGGAAACAGAAATGATCTCAGTTTCTTTGCTAGGCTTTTTTGTGTACTGCTTGACAGCTGAGCGGGCAGGAATGACTGCCTGGGGCACAGAAGGCCGGGGCTGGAACTCGCGGTTCTGCCCGGAACCCAACGGTTGCCAAATGATGGACCCTGACCACTGGAAAGGGCTTCAACAAATCACTTAGTCCAAAGGCACAAATGCATGGCCAGTGGCTCTTCAGTCATTTTGTCAGTTTAATGTTCAAGTAATTTGAGTTAAGCCAACACTTAAGTTGTAATCTGTTATACGAATATAAGAATTTATGGCTTTGACACCAAAGGAAGGCCACGGAGTGAGGATTTTTTTTTTTTTTTTTTTTTGACCTTGTGCTTGCCAGGCAGGTGCTTAAACCACTGCACTGTCTCCTCTGCTTCACGGAGCATGAGAGCTTGTCGGCATGTGAAAATTAGTAGTTCACCCCCGTGGGGCATGCGCTGCTCACCTGCTGGGTTCCTGCTGCTGCCTGTTGTCCCACAAAGGGTGGACCTGGTGTATCCATTCCCTAACTGCTGCTAGAGGCTTTAGAATTATAACGCTAAGCTTTAAATCTATGGCCTCATTTTGCAGATGTAAACATTCTGTGTACCAAGGATGATGTACTCAAGTTCTACTTCTGGCTGTGAAAAGATTCAGATGAAAACTTAGTTCTGAAGTTGTCTTTTCCCCCTTTTTTGTGCTCTGTCCAGTAAGTAACTGTTCTCAGTTTCTAAAGCCCAATTGTGCAGTGCAAAGATGCATTACTAGAAATAGATATAGCTCATTTTTTTTAGCTTGGTTTAGTGTTTGTTTATGAGATAGGGCCTCCCTGTTGGTGCAGGGCGTCCTTCAGCTTGTGGCCATCTTCCTGCTTTAGCCTCCTGATGATTATAATTCATTCACTTGTGACCCCCTGCCTCCAAAACTGTCAAAGCAACAGGTAGAATATGACTAAGAACAAACAGCTGACAGCGAGAGAATGCAAAGAGATAATATTAATGTTTGAGGGTTTGCTGTGGTCCAAGCCCACCTAATGCTTTACACACATGAACACTTCCAGCAGCCCTGTAATTACTTTCATAGAAGGAGTCTGAGGAACAGGGAGCCCAGGATAACCTAGCTGCCCAGGGTGCAGGGCTGGGTCTGCACAAGGCCGCAAGGCCCTCCCAAGGCTGCTCTGCTCCAGCGCCTGTCAGGCTGGGTGCACCTTGCGCCTTTCCTCGCTTTTGCCCTTCTCCACTCACCCCTCAGCTTCTAAGTCCTCTCCAGAATTTGTGTGCTGACCTCCCCCACTTGGGCTTCCTACTTCTAGGTCTCCCTAGAAATTACTAAGTCCCATTTGATTTCCCTGTTCCCCTTGCTTCAGGTGTGCTGTCACTCCCTTTATCCTTAGTTCAAGGACTTCTTAAGAACTTTGAATCTCAGCTGTACTGTTCTGTGTAGAGCACGTCATCTTTGGGAGTTTCTACAACTCCCCTAAACTCGGAAACACATGTATTCTGTCGCTCTTATCTATTACATTCAGGTAATTTGATGAAAATTCAAAACTTATGTCTGAGATTTAACTGGTGTTATGTCTAATAGAGTCAAAGACTTAAAAGGATCTATTTCCCTCGCCTACGATATTAAGGACTCTGTAGATAACTCCTTTACTTCACTCTGGGGATACGAAGTCGACATGCTCATTGATAGAGCTCAGTACCTGTTAGATTAAAAAATTTGAGCAGCATTACTACGCTTATGAATGTAGATGATACATTTGTTTTAAGTGACCTAGCAGTCAGAGTTCTCCAAGTAATACGGGGGTTGTGCTGGCAATATTGATCATACATCTGAGTCTCGGGAGCCAGGAGCAGTCGCATTAATCAAAGGAGAATTTAATAAACTCCTTGGGAAAAGGGTTATGATTTCATTATTTAAAAATTCAGTGAAGACAGCTGCAGTTGAACTTTTATAGGCACTAGTCCAAATAGATCATCTGGCAAACACAAGAAATTATTTCTTGTACTTTATAACTACTGTGCCAATTTATTAATTTCCAACTTCACATAAATCCACTGAGGCCGCTTTCAGCTGAGAGCTCATCTGGAGGAGAGCGCCTTGTGCATGTTGGGATTTCATTTGAAAAGTGTTTGCAAGGAGCTAATTGTATATCATTTTCTTTAAATGAAAAAAGTCTTTCAGGCTTTAATAAAAATAAGTGCATCACACTTTTTAAATATAAGTCAAAAGAAAAAAACGCCTCCCACCCACAAAACATTCACTCTGAAAAGGCTAAAGTACATCATAAGTAAATCTTTCAACCTATAATTAATGTATATTGAATTTCTATCTGTCTTTCTATTAGTTATAATTGAACGATCTGGTTTTTCTGACTAAAGGTTTTAAGAACCAAGGGAAAATGGATTTAAGGTAAACTATTATTTTTGGAAATGCGAAAGTGGCTGGGCATGTTGTGCTTGCCTGCAACCCCGGTTCTTGAGAGCCTGAAGCAGGAAGATTGCCATGATTTTGAGGCCAGCCTGGGCTACATAGTGAGTTCAAAGGCAGCCTCAGTCATAGTGAAACCCTGTCTCAAAATCAATCAATCAATAGCAATAAAATGAAATCAATAATCTTTCCTTCTTTATTCCATGTTTCACCATGTATAATATGTGATGGATGTATGTAGTGCAAGGAAACTCTGGCTGGCGAAATCTTTCTTCCCAGACGCTGGTGTCAGATGTTGCCTGGCACCCACAGAGCCTTTAAGCATTCCTTCTGTGTGGAAACACTAAAAGGATTCAAAAGTTCCAGGGTGTTAGCAAAAGAATCACTTGCAACAATTTCTTATAGTAATCTAGGGCCACAGTCAACTTACAAATGTTGAAGTCAAGGTCGTATATGGAGTAACTTAGCAAATACAAGATTTGTAAGAGCTCATTCATTTGGATAACAGGTTGACTCATGGCTTTCCTTATATAACGTAATTCTTATTCGCATTCTAGTATGCTTTTTTGAAAGTGAAAGATGCAGAGTGTGGATGAATGGCCATAACACTAATGGAAGGTTTCTCTGGACGGAGGTATCATCCATCACTGATGTTCCCATGGGGAAGAGTATAAGGTAGCCCTGCAAGGTGCACCTATGTCCTTCTGACTTGTACCTCAGATAGTACAAGTTCTGGGGGCTGCATGTGACCGACCTCTCCCCACCAGCTGTGACAGCTGTGAAAATGAGGCATGCTCACGGCGCTCCAGGCCTGCAGCCAGTACTCCTGATAGGAAGAGAGACTAAGCCTCTAAATAGAAATGCAGTCTGACGGGCTCGCTCTTCACTGTATCTAAGGATACAAAGGGGTTTGGAAGTATAAAAAAAGAGGATGGGGCTGATGGAAGAATAAGAAAGCAGAATTCGTCTTAAGGAAAAATTCAAAGTTGGATATCTGGGGCCTGAGACAAAATAAAAACACAGAGGATTTGTATGGAGGCCCACGGAGGGGAAGAAACAAGGCTGCACCCTCAGAAGTAGAACTAGAACCGTGGTTTCTGAATTTATTACGGGCCTACTCTTGAAAAATAGTTCAGTCTTTGAAATGTTCACTCATTTTCAATTAAGGCAATATTCCAAGAAATATAAATGTTCATTTGTCCATTTTTATTGTATAGCAAAAGCTAATTTATTGTCTCTACTTCTTTGGGACAATTGTTTTAGAACATAGAACAAAATGACAGAAATTTCTTTGCAACTTGGAAGTAGTCCAGAGATGCTCTACTCAAATTTTATTTGAGCACTATTATTAAAATATAGCAGTGCTGGGCATGGTGCACATGCCTGCAAACCCGGCATTCAGAAGGCAAGAAGATTGAGTTTGAGACCAGCCTGGCTTGCAAAATGAGCTCAAGGCCAGCCTGAACCGCATAGCCAGACCCTGTCTCAAAAAGACAAAATGATGATGATGATGATGATGATGATGATGATGATGATGATGATGATGATAATAATAATAATAATAATAATAATAATAATAATGTGTGGCAGCCTGTGGCTCCAAGAGGTAAATACTCTGCCCCAAATCATGTGACCATATTTAAATGTAGGCCGGGCTGGCTCCAGGCAAAAGCACTTCTCCCTTGTTCTGCCTTTTCTTCCCTTTGGTTGAAACAAGATTTGCCAACACTACCGTATTTACTTGTAAAGTTCTAATCTTATAAATTTAATGAGAAAATGCCAAAAGTCTGTTTAAATTCTATTGTCTGAACAAAAGCAGGCCTTATAAAGTCTTCTTCTGTCTGGTATCTTGCACATTTTTAGTCTATAAATAAATGAAGTGTTACCATGAAATATGCTACAGCAACAAGCTCAGTGTCTTTGAAAGAAAATATGCGTATTTTGTTTCTAGCTTAAAAGCAGAACCTCCAAAGTCAGCGCATGTCAAGTTTAAGGGAGCACAGTATTTAAACAAAGGTAGCTGCAATAATTTAATTTCAAAGTAAAGGTTGACAAGAGGATTTCTTAGTCGGCCCTGGAGTAACCAGACAAAGCGTGTGCACCACCCTCGGCAGCTCACCTCACGTGACCTGGGGCTACATGCCTGATAATTAGATTGGAGCAATTTTCAAGCAACAAGAGGATGCACTTCCTGAATAAAACATGCACTTCAAAGTAGATCTTTGGAATAATAAATAATAGAAAATATCATTATACTGTACATCCCTGGTGAGATTGCATAAAGGTAAAAGTGTGTGCGTCGGAAATGTACAGACCTGGTGAAATCCCAGCTGTGCATGTCCTGTTGTTTTTTTACAGTTCTCTCACTTATTGGTGTGATCTTCGATATATTCAGTTGTCTGAAAAGAAGTTGCTGCTGGTTTTAAATGTCAAATTTTAAAATAAGTGCTTGGCACACAGTCTATGTCTGAAAACACACCAGAACCTGAGAGGCTAAAAGCATGGGTATCTCTCTGAAATAGCTGCAATTCCTGGTTGCCACCTGCTTCTTTATTTTCCAGGCCATTCTGCAATAAGGAGAATGCTTTATGCTTTTGCTTCAAAATTTGGTTCTATGTTTTAAAAATAGAAGGTGGCTTTCATTGAAAAACTGCATCTTCACATAAATCAAACATTATATTTGTTCTATATTCAAATGACCTTCTGTATTACTTTCTACAAAGCTCTGATCCCCCAAATATTAATCATTCCTTTGAATTATTCAGCTCAGACATGACGGCATGAAAGAAATACAAGAGCCAGTTTATGAGGCCCATGCTAACCTGTCAGATCAAAGGAGTGCTGCTTTGTTGTAACATTTTCTCATTCATCTGTAAATTTAGGCAATATGAAGCAGACAAGAAATGATTTCTAATTGGCAGGGACAACTGAAATTGGACCTGGATAACAGAAGAATTACAAGTAAATGCTAACTTATGGGGTTAGAGTAATCATGTTTTCTTTACTTAGCAAACTAGAAAGCAGGCAGGATTTTGACACTGGAAGGTGGGTTTATCAGTAGCTCCAGGACCTGCTGCCTTTAGGCACGAATGGTAAGTTGTGCTGTTTACTCACCAGCAAAACAAGTATAATGGAAACTAGATACTGCCCATTTTACGTTCTATTTTAAGAATTAAATGAGGCAGTATATACGATGGCGGCATGCTATAAAAACAGCATTGGCACCAGGAACTGAACTCAAGCCCTCACGCTTGCCAGGCAGGGGCTGTGCCACTGAGCTATGTTCTCAACCCAAAATTACTGATTTAATAGGTAGAGGGCTGTAGATTCTCACCTCACTTGGCAGCTGCATAATCTTCAGCAGGTTCTTGAACTTTTCCGAGCTGCTATTTCTCTTTCCACTCAATGGCCATTACACAAGATTGTCATGGGGACTTAGTGATGTGAAAAACATCTGTCACAAAGCTCTGTCTCAAGCTTCTTGTCTAATACAGTGGCTTGTGCATTAGCGTTAAAGCAAATAAATGTGTATTGCTCATGCAGTCTTTAGATTTGCTTTATGGGCATATTTACATTTCTAGCCAAAAGAGTTTGGTTAAATACCTTGTAGAAAATGGAGGATTCTCCAGAAATTTACTAGTCTTATTATTATGGAAAATGTTTGGCATGTATTTTTAGAGAGTAAAGAACATAATATTACATATATGTATATATATACGTTAACATATAGTATATATATGTTAATATATATATGGACTGGTTTGTTTCTGTTAACACATTAAAAACTTTTAGAAATATATATATATATATATATATATATAATATAAATTGTAGTATTATAAATTTTATTTTAGTTTGGCTTACTGATTTTCTAATGAAGAACAAAGGTTCTCATTATGGAAATAAATATGATATGACCTTGAATCAAATAACAGGGATAAAGAAACTGACCTCCTTCAGCTGAGCAGATGACCACAATTGGACTGAAAGGGCCGTCGCCTTTGTTATTATAAACACCAACTTTCACTTCGAAGGGAGTCAGCGGAGGCACACTTTCATCCCGATAGATGAATTTGGAAGCGTCAGAGGATGTCACCATTTTTTCTTTCCATCCCCGCGTTCCATTGGGTCTGAAAGCCACAATATAGCCAAAGCCTTCCCCATTCTGAAACTCTTCAGACACTGGCTGAAGAAGGAAAGCACAATTAATTATCAGCAGTATGACTGATTAAGAAGAAAATGCACTGCCTCCAAAGCTGGACGTTATGCTACAGTGGAAGCTAAGATAGGAAAGTAATTTGGCACTTTGAGGATGCTTAGAAGCCCTTCAAGGTTAAAAATGAAAACTTATATTAGTTGGCATGTAAGAAAATTCTCCAGAGTGTTGAAAACTCTTGAAGTGAAACAAATTTGCTCCAATTATATGTATATGAAATGAAGGTCTTAGATTCCACACTAGAGTTTAACATGTGGAAGAAAAGTGTCACATGGTTGGTAGGTGGGAACGTCTTGTCAGTGGTAATGCTCACAGATCTCTGCATGACACACCTAAAATAGATTTGTGTGAGCCCTTCCTTCTCGTTGCCTCTGTGCACTAAAAGCACGCAAAACAACTGGACAAGAGCACTTAGGCAGGAAACTGTTGTGCTATGTGCGTATGGCTTATACCTAAACTTACAAATGGATTTCAACTCCCTAGCACAGCAAGGGACACTTGTCACTGACTCTTGGGTGGAATAAAGGCATGAGACATTGACTAGAACAACTCTTGACTCATAGGAGGTATCCAAAAAATATTTGTTAGTATTTTTCTTTTAAATTTTGACTAAACTACTATGCGTTTATTGAAAGAGGAGGATAAAGTCTATTTGGCCAAAGCTCATTGTTAATGAACTCTAGGGCAATTTGCTCTGCAGAGATAAATCCCAGTGAAGGTCTGATATTGGGGAATTAATATGGATGCAGAAAGCCATATTAACTCTTCCACTACCAGTTTTCCTTTGGTAAAAGATATTTTCAAGGCTGCAAAATATTATGGATAAAGGAATCCAAATTTTGTACTCAAAATCCTACTTCTTTTCACTAGGGAAGTATTTAAACTCTTCCCCAGTTTCAAAATTTGTAAAATAAGGCAAATCTTCCATAGTAGAAGGATTGTTATATGGATTAAATAAGAAAGCCTAGGCACTGTGCCACATGTCCAGAGGTGATTCATTCCTTCCTCCTCGGTGGTTTCCGAGTAAGTTAAGGTAACTACTTAGTTGTAAAACAATTAAATATCAGACTGAACCAAAAAGCCACCTGATATATTTTGCTAAGGACGTGCTTTTATCATTCAAGCCTTGGGCTGCGATAGCTGATAGCACAGGAGAGCATACTTTACGTTTGGCCATAATATCACCTGGGACCTAGTAGGAAGATGGGAGAACTCATAGTATCAACCAAGGCGTGCCCTGGGCATTTGCTTTACTTAAACAGGGGGTTACTGAGGCTGGCTTGATTGGGGCAAACATTCCTAACTGCAGCTTTAGTTGAAGAAAATCACCAGTTTTGACAATTGTTAAGGCTTTTGTACCTCCCAGGCAATGACCAACTCGTGTCTTCTTCCACTTCTTCCGCTTACATTGGTGGGTGCTGTTTTTGGAACTGTGGAGAAAAACGGGCAGAGAGTGAGGAGAGCGACCATGTGGGTAGTTTCCTTACAATATGACAAATCGTGACCCTACATACGCTGGACAAGAATTTCGAAATAAAGAAGTCAAACATTCGTTTTGAAGATAGAACAGTCAAATTAAACAATGAATCAAGATATTTGTGATGGAGTTCTTTTAAATCTTTGTGGAATAATTTTATATATATTTCACAGCCACATACGTAGCTCCAAATTAGCTCTCGGTTAAATGCTCTGTAGGTGATATCTAAATCCCAGTGACAATAAGGCTAAAGAGACCCACTAGTAGTCAGGCTCATTTCACCCTTGACAAGCTTGCCTCTTCTTCACCAATGGTATGACTATTTTTTTCCATGCCAGGGCTCACAAAATCCCTGGAAATCGCACAAGTTGAGTCCAACATCACTAGTCCCAGAACCCTCAGGTAGCTCCAGTTCAAAGCAGCATGAATGATGCCATGGAGCTAGAATCTAGTGAAATGAATCAACATTTTAGGAAAGCTGTCGAGAATCAATCTCTCTGCACGCTACAAAATATGTAGGTACTCAGAGAAACTTTTTCAAATGAATAACTATTAAATGAAAAATGTGTCAAAGGAGTAAAGTTCCCCTTCACTGCACCACACCGAAGAACCTGCAGCTGAATGGGAACATTTTCAAATGAGGAAGACTATTAAAAGAAATAATTTTCCAGGCTATGAGCTACATTAGCAATTTTATACTTCAATATTGCCTTTTAAACCTAGCATATAGTTCTTAAATGATATTGATACACTCATAAACAATAAATTCACTCCTGTATATTTATACCTGGATGAAAAGCTATTAATTACTGGTAGACAGTCACATAGAATTTTATACACTAGAAAAAACTGAAGTGGAGTTTATATCATCCCAGAAAGGAAATAAAAAAGCAGAATTTTTCTTGGGCCCAAGAGGGGCAGGTGAATATAATTTGTTCCACAAAAATAAATATATTCTCCAGGGTCTAAATCGCAGTGTCTTGGGTACTTATCTGCACCAGAAAAATTCTTCTCTTGCTCAACTACATGTAGCAGCTATCAATATCAGATTATATAACTTCAAAATATATAGAGAAATGCAAAATAGATACAGAAGCAGTTACATATTGTATTTTTTCATAGTTGCAAATATTCTAAAGATTATTTATTTACAAACTTCAGTCTCATGAATTCCTTTGGAATTACATGGAATTGAGCTACCTTTACTCTCATACAGGAAATCAGGCAGAATGTAGCTGAAAATGTGATGGTATTATAGCAGTGACTGTGGAGATGGCTCCATTTAGTTCAACAGTAAGCAGATCGTTTATTAAGATAAATGTTAAAATAAACTAGTTATTGATACATGTAACAATCTATCACAGAGCTGTATGTCTTGACACCAAATCTGAAAAACCACTGTAAAACTGTATACTGATTCTAAGCTTTTTTGCTCTATAGTATGCCTGAAGTACAAAAGAATGGAATAGATTGAAGTGTACGTGTAAAAGGACACAATTTGATTCACACACGTGAATCATCTCTCTGCTCTGTGTCAGTGGCACAGCGCCATTTCAATTCACACAACTAAAGGAGTGAGAGAGAGAGAGAGAGAGAGAGAGAGAGAGAGAGAGAGGTGTTATGAATATGTGCCTACTTCCTATGAGGAATATTATGATTATAAACTGCAAACATCCTTAGTAGAACTGAAGAGGAAAAATAAACATGGGAAGATAAAGCTAAAAAAGGGATTTGGAGTAAGGTCTGGGTTAGAGTTCCAGGGCTGCCACTAATTTCTCGATAGACTTGTGTGAGTTTTGGAAGCTCTATGAATTCTGTTTGCTATGTGAAAAAAGGGGATAAATAACCCACCAGGACAGTGATTTAAAAGACTGGTGGGAAAATGGAGTGGCGTAAGGAAGGGCAGCCTTGGCTGGGTCTGGGTTGACGTGTGGCTTTCCAGGACTTGGAAGCAGGGAGGGTCTGACGGATGTCTTCCCGCGGTCCTTTCATCTTTTGTGCTCAAGTTGTGGGCTGTTTGTCATTCTGTGCCTTGTCCTTTCTTGCTTCTTTGAAAAAGAACTACCTAAATACTTCCAGGGTTCCCTGAACACCTCAGTTTGTAAGCTGCCTCTGCAAGGAAAGGCATCTTTCTTGACTATGTTTGGTAGAAAAGATTTTGCTGGCTCACAGCAACATTTTTATTTTAGAATACTGTCTGCTACATGAGCTGTAACATTTTTTTCTAATAACTGAAGATTTGGTTTTAGAGGTCTGTTCCTTGCTATGATTTTGGTCTTCTTTTGACATTACTGAGAATTGTTTCTTTTATATAATATAATTAAATATAATATAATTAAATTACTCACTGGGTTGAAGAAAACTGTTATGTTCATTTAAAAGTATTTTCCCAATTGTTTCAGCTTAATACTTTCTACTGTCTATATAATATTTTCTTATAACTTAAACTGAAAAGAACTCCAAAGCACCATAGCCTAAGCCTTTTCTCTCTGCACTCCAGTACCTGAAAATTGGGCATTTTTTAAATTGGCTTCAGTATTTGATTAAAGTCTTATTTAGCCTGGCTTTCAACTTCCTGTTAAATTCCATTTTCAAAGTCAATCCACATACTGCTAGACAAAACTAATCCAGCTGCATCTTATGTTACAGTAGTGTTTTGAAATTTTAAAAGTATTATTACAAGAGTAGGATGCGGATATATTACAATAGCATTTCATTGTGTTTCTTCCACAGCTCCTGATCATAGGAAAGTTTCCTACGTGGCACTGCAGACAATAACCAGGAAGATATATAATATGAGAGAAAAGCCAGAATCTTCTCAGGAGGTAGTGCACAAACAAAGAAATTTTAATTAGAAGTCAAACAAGTCTAGTTATGGACTTGTTATGAGTCATTTGTGACCTCAGATGCTAAAACGAGGTAAAAGACAGCGACAGACTTGGGAAGAAATAAAGGAAACAATTTTATGATCCTTTCCTATCATCTATCTCTAGTCCAGGTACTGTGACGCCGAAGTGAATCTTTAAATGAAAAGCATGCTAGTCACTGATCTTCCGCAGAGTATTCGCTCTTTGAGCAGGCTTACTCCAATGCTCTCGCCGCTCTGGAACCATTCTGGAGCGCTTTCCCACGCGCGTGTTCAGTTGCGCTCTCACGGCTGCAGGGACCTCTCGGGCTGGTCAGCAGCGGTCACCTCTCACCGTGCGGAGGAGCCGGAAGTTTCGCGGTGCAGTCCAGGGATCCAGGTCGATGAGGGCGCCCTGAAATATTTTCCTAGGCTTCTTTTCCGTCGGGAGCACCCAGCAGCAACACCCACCCTTCTTTTCATAATACAAGGCACTCATGAAAGAGCGCTTTGGGAAGTGACTCCGGAAGTCGCAGGGACCGTGGGCTGAGCGCGGCGGAAGGGGAAGGACGCCTGCGTGTGCCTTCTGCCACAGCGCTGCTCCACGACTAAGCCTGCACCGCGTGGGGTGCGCAGGCCCCCCAGTCAGCATCGCGGCACATCGTGCTGCTTAGGGACAAGCGCGTCGGCGGAGAAGATGGACGGGCTGCCCCGACCGTCTACTGATAAGGCAGGTATCGGTCGCTAATCGGGCTGCATCAGCTGGGCAGTGATAGGAGTAAGACAACCATGGCGAGACTCCTTGCTTGCCTCTCCTGTCCTGTGGCGCATCCTGTCGCCCTCACTGAGGTGACTGGGCAGAGGCAGAAATAGGTCTTGAGGACGTCTTATATTTCTAAGGCCTGGCAGGCTGGGAATGGGAGACAGCGCTGTGTGCCAATGGACTCCCTAGCAGGTGGCTCTGGCTAGGCTTATGGGGGTCAGAGCCCCTCAGGCTGCCTGCTAAGGACCAAGGTGCCTCCAAAATGCAAGAGCGCCTCAAGAGCGAATAGAGGTTGCCTCCATGGCTCAGAACTCAGTGAAAAACACACACTGTGCCACCTAAGTAGCTGCTTTTCTCCTTCCTGTTTGACTTGGAAACTGCCGTTGTAACTATTGCAGGGAGTGGAGGGAAACAGGACGAGGCAAAGGAACCAGGCCTGAGCTGGGGTGGAAGGGGAAAGCACAAAATCGGATGAGAGACTGCAGTGTTTATTTAAATTACACTGGAGGTTTTAATACCTGAAATTCAGATAGCTCCAGAACTTAGGAGCACCTGGGAAACGGATGAGGCTGAAGGTGGAAGTGGCTACAGCACAGCACAGGGCAGGAGGGGGGTACTGCATCTCTGGTCTATTTAAACTCCACAGTCTCCACAGTGCACCAGCTCTGCAGCTGTGAGGTATGGTAGGAAGTACTCACGTCAGGAAACACTTCCGTTCAGCTGTGCATTTGGTACAATTATCTGGTGGAACACGATCTCTGAAGTGTAAAAACCGTATTTTCCCCTGTGTATCCAGAAATAGGTGTATGCTGTTTCCCATTTCAGAGTCAAAAGAGAATGGTTCTCAGAGTCCAGCGTCCTAGGCCAACAGAAGGCTCTCTGTGCAGAAGAGTTGGCATACAGTCCTTCAACTGATGCTGCTAATCGGTCTTTCTTGACTCCTTTTGCTATGTTCATTGTGCGGAAACAAAGGCAATTGTCATGTGTTGGGTGCTATGAAAATCTAGCCCGGGGCCCAGTACTAGGCAGAGAATAGCATAAGGCAGCACGTCAGGTCAGGCACGGGGTTGGGAAGGACACGTGGAGATACACGTGAGCACAACTGCAGTGTGTCCGCCATACGAAAAGAGCCACTTTTGCATGCTTACTACTGTTTAAACTCCCATTTTATTTAGGAATAACTCATTTGAATTGATGATGACGGTAATAAAATTGCTTCTTATATTTATACATCATATTTTTAGTATAATGGTCAAATTAATTAGTTATAATATTTTCTGCATTCTTTAATTGAGAAAAATCAAAGTCTTAAGTATGCTTGTTGATGTTCACAATGCTAGTAAATGGCTCTGTGGAATATTAATCATGATTTAAACTCAAACACGTAATTATAGGTAGAATATTCTTTAAAATATGCCTCTGTGTAGTTCATTAAAAAATTGAAATACGGACTAAGCATCAGCTTTGCCAAGTTCAAGGACCAGGGTTCAATCCCTGGTCCCACATGCCATGCCGGCCCCACCTCCAGGGTATATGGGGTCCGTTGAGTCTGGGCGTGGTGGCACACGCCTGTAATCCCAGGCTGAAAATAGGAGGATCACTATGAGTATGAGCTGCATAGTGAGACTCTGTGCCAAACACTTAAATGAAAAAAATTGAAATAACTGAATTACCAATATTAATATTTATATCAAGAGATTTGAAGGTAAGAGGCCTTATGCTACAGAAAGTATGCAGTGTTTCTGAATGACTAGTACATAGTGAACCCTAACCTCTTTTCATTTACCTTTCAAATGTTATAAATTTGTAACTTTTCTTAAAGTTCAAGTGATGGAGATAATTACTGTTATTTTATGACAGTATGCTTATTTTATATTATTCCATTTCTACTGTAGTGTATTTTTCAAATTCATTATGGCAAATATAGCTTAATAGCACAAGTGGTGCTTTTCTAGCAAGTGCAAGGTCCTGAGTTCAGTTCCCCAAAACAAAACAAAACAAAACAAATTCATTTGCTAAAATGTGATTTTACTCTGGTGAGTCTTATCTTATTAAATCCCAAAACATTTAGATTAGTCCACTCCGAATTTATGTTAGTTTGATGATAGTAGCATAATAAGTTAAACACAATTATGTTTTTTTAAAAAAACTAATCACTATCTAAACCCAACTGGTAATAAAATTACATTATAAATAAATATATCATAAAGGTATACTAAGTTAGAACTATGTATTTATACTAATATTTTTACATCTCAATATGAAATACTAGTGCTAAAAGTTGAACCATGCCAGTTTATATTATCTTTATTAATTGACAAGTTTATTTGAAGACTGGAAAACTCAAAAATAACATTGAAGGAAAATATAAAGAATTTTTTTATTTCTTTGGAAAAGGGCAATTTTAAGGTAGAAATGCTTTATAAAACTGCCTAGAACCTAGAGTTTTCTAATAAATAAGAGAATTTTCAAAGGGCATCAAATATTCATTTCAACACCCTAAGTTCAGGCTTGTGCTCTGAGGCAGCTCTGTCCATTGCGAAGCTTGGCTGGTCCATTAGAAGGCGCGTGTCTTTTGCCACACAGGCTGTGCGCTTAGTAGAGGCACAGCGTGGCACTTGAGAGGATGTCTCCGAATATTAGTGTCCCCTTTAATCTGTCCTGCCTGACAAAACAGGAGCGGAACTCACTGCTCGCCCGACACCATTAGCAGCTCTGGTTGTATGCGGCAGGCAAGCAAAGGAAGCGTACTGGGGGGGCCGAGCTGGCCGCAACCGGGCTGGGAGCCAGGGCTTCATCCATCTTTCATGCTCCTCATCTTCTCTTCCGTAAGATTTTAATGGACTAAACCATGTCACGTATGTAGAACTCGTGATAAAATGGAGCGACAGAGACAAAACGACTGAGGAGGCTGCAGAAATGGATGAAGTCTTTCAAATGCACCATCTAAATACAACTTAGACTAAAATATAAAAGTGCATTTTTTTCCCGCTAAAATGCTTTTTAATAGCACAAGAAGATGTGTACTATAAAAAGTTTGAAAGGATTATTCATCCCAAGTGGATTATTTATGTTTGAAATGAATATTTATAGAGGATCTCTGAATTAGGTGGTAATTTTTGCCTTTGTTTAAACACTATTAACAATATGCAAAGTAAGGCAGTCCTTTTTAGAAAATATGTGGATATAAGTATTCCGATTGGCAGTCACTTCGGTATCTGCCCAGTGAGTGCATGAAATGAGGAATAACTAACCTGTTATGCTCTTAATTAATGAACACCTGTACACAGTGAAAACATGGACGATTTTATGGGTGCATGAGAATCCAACCAGGCAATTAATGTGCAATTTAAAATTCACACTATTGAAAACTGGCAGAAAAGAACTTGTACAGGCAAATCATGAAAGCAGAAAAGTTGAGTTTTCTGTGGATGATTTTTTTCCCTACCTATTTTGAATATTTCACCTCTTATATTCTTGGTTGCTTAATTTTTTTCTGCATCAAAAATCCCTTTGTTAGGGCCGGGGAGATGGCTCAGTAGAGTAAGTGCTTCCCTGGCAAGTGCAAGGGCCTGAGTTCAATCCCAGGTTCCGGAAAAAAAAAAATCCCTTTGTTGGGGGGGTAAAAAAAGAATCCCTTTGTATGGTTATTTGGCCTTAATGCAATAATAGACCATTTGTGATTCTTCAGTGGGGCTAGACAAGGTATGCTCAATTGTTTTAACACTTTATTTTCATTATTATAAATTTTGTTTAATAATTGACGAGTCAAAAATTCTAATTTTGGTCCAAATGTATAACGATGGTAGGAAATGGACACAATCCTTAAAAAAAATGTTTTACTCTTTTGATACAAGGCCTCGCTGCACAGCTTGGACACGTAGTGATCCTCCTCTCAGCCTTTCCAGTGCTGGGATTACAGGTGTGCACCATCATGCCCGGTTTCAGTGGCTGGCACAATGCACCTGGGGTTCTGGGGTGGCACTGATGCGGTGCCAGGGATGGAACTCAGGACCTTATGCTTGCCAGGCAGGTGCGTAAGCTGCTGAGCTGTCTCCCCAGTTCACAATTACTGTGTACTTCTCATGTGTCTCTAGCATGGTAATGCAGGTAAAGGTGCACAGACGAAGAGAAAAGTGTGTTCCCTCATAAATCACGACACGTTGAGTGCCAGAGCCACACACTATTTTAGGTCCCTCGGATGAAACAACAGATTAGATGAATTCCTCATTTTAATGTGCTTTTTTCAAGATTTTTATATTACTATCAAGTATAAAAACCATTAAAATTATTTTTCTTCTCTGTATTGCATACTCCAATCCTTGTACCCTCTTTTTTGTTTTCAAGTTGTTGTCATTAAATTATTGTGGGTGTTCACTTAAGTGACTACCTATTAGGTACTTTCTCAACAGAATATTTTTTAAACTGATTTTATTGATAAAGAATAGCAATGAGACAGCTTCAAAACAGGCTAGTAGGACAGTTACAATAATTAATACATTGCATATCGTTGTCTTCGTAGTATTCCTAGTACAAGATGTGGACGTGATATCTTGTCTAAACACTGTTAGCACAAATCTTTCTTTTCATTGAACTACGAGTAAGTAGCTTCTTCAATAGACTATTTATATATTTTAAGGTTCAAGCGATATTTGAAACCTGTAAAATGTATAATGATCAGATCAGGATAATTAGCATTTCTATCTCCTGAAACTTTTATCATTATGTTGGGAAGCTTCTAACTCTTCTTTCCTAGTTTTTTTTTTTTTTTAAATTAATACAGCATTTTCAAGGACATAAAGATCTCAACAAGACTTTGTCTAAAGTAATTAAAATTCTACTCAAAAACTTCATTATTCTTTATTCCTTTATGCTTCTGTTCTTTCTAGGTGCCAGACAAAATATCTTAATTTGCTGTTAAATAAAGTTGTTAGTTTCTTTTATGTAGTCATTAGAAATGACATTTACCAGAGTTATCTACTGTCAAGGACCCCAGGAATGCTTTGCTTTGTAGGCCAGAGACAAGTCGGGTGTGTGTTTCACACACAGCCTTCAAGGAAGGACTAGGTTGTGCAGGGGTGTGTCTATGCTGGGGTAATTTATCCATGTGAGGGGGGAAGGGCAACACTAAGGAATTCTAACAAAGCAGAACGTAGTTCAAAGAAAGTGTTATCACTGGTGGATAAGGTGAGCCAATCTATTGTAATTTATGGGTATTCAATATTGAATAAGTATCGAATTGAAAGAATAACTGAATTCAATTTCATGGTAACATGAAGATAGCACAAAGGTTGGGAGAAAACCAAAATATTTAGAGGCCTAAATTTGCAGAAACAAGAAGAAAAAGACGTAACATCAGAACACTGACAGAATTATTTTGAAGGATGTGATTCTGTGGCATATAGGTGGAAATACCAGGACAAACGATACAACAGCAAGAGATATGACAGTCGCAGTCAGCTAACCCTGCTTTCAGAGTGAGCCTGAGCCTCCAGATTCTTACCTGCCTCGTTTGTGCGGATCATTCGTGACGGAGTGCTTGGGTCTCCGGTCCCAATTGGGTTGGTGGCCACCACTCGGAATTCATACTCCACCCAGGGATTCAAGTCCACGGCCACGGCTGACTCCATGTCTCCTGTGATGGTTTCTGGGACTAGGCAGAAGGAGGTTATTTCATGTCACTAGGAAAACTGGCAAAGGCTATGCATGACAACCAAGGATGCCACTTCTACTGATAGAAATCAATAATTTCTCATAAGGCATGGCTATGGCTTCTCCTGCAGTACCAGCGGCAAAATGAAAATAATTTTTGGGAAATAAATACCTGTATGTGCCAAAGATATCCGAGTAATTAGTATTTTTTTCTTATCTTTACACACAGCTTGTCATTATATATACCTCGTCAGTATCTACTAAAATTATTTTGTTAACCTTTTAGTCCAAGAGGAAAGGCCAAGTCATAGTATAATTAAGTAAAGAATTTTCTTCCATTTTTAGGGAAATTTCTTGAATAGTTTGTTTTCCCCTAGTTCCAGTAAATATATTTCATCACTTACAGTTTCATGCAGCAGAATAAAAATACATTCCTTTAATTTAAAAAAAAACCTACAATTTTTAGGATCTAACTGGACATATAATCTATGCAATACTAAATTTTGTGCTAAGATTTTTATAAAAATATGAAATATTTTATTAATGCAATCATGAAGTGAATTTTTTTTACATATAGTGCAGCTGCTGTTTGAGGCCACCTTTATTTGTTCATCTCCAAAGCATAGTGTTATAAAACTTATTATGGGCAAAAAGGGGAGACATGGAGAATGCACAGATGGGTAAGAGCCCCTGGACTTATGCAGCCCTGGTATCTGCAGAGACAAAATTTCTGGAGAGCCAAATTTGGAGGCTGGGGCTGTTGTTTTGAGGACAGTTCAGTTTTACTATGGCAAAGAGAAATTATGTCTTCTTAAAGTTTTCATGAAAATATTTTCTGAAATGCTTCAAAAAATGTTACACCAGCTTAGCAGCTTTTTACAAGGTGGAATGAACAGAGCATGCACTCTGGTCTGCCTGACAAGTCTCTGCAAACTCAGAGCTGATTTTGTTAAGCAGTAACATAAAGACAAAGGATGGAAAGTCTGTCTCCCTTTGTCTCCCCTCCTTATACTTAAAGCAATATTTTGGCATCTAAGAGGTGGGGGACATTGCCAAGTTGGTGTACACAGTGGTTTGATGTTGAGCTACACTTGCCACGCATCCAGGTAGGAAGAGACCCTAGGCGCCCAGCCCTCCTCTCCAGGCTGCAGTGTACCACCTTTGACTGCTTTGGCTTTGCCAGGATTTCTTTCCAGTTTACCTGTTTATGTCAGTAACTTCCACCAACTCAGAGCTGCAGGGCCATCTTTTCTTAATCTTCATGGCATTTGCAAATTCCCTACACTACCAACTTAGGTTCCTCATCCCCTTTGATACTCATGGTCTGTCATTAGCAAATCCTCTGTGTGCTTATTGTCCTCTTTGAACAACCTCTCTCAGTTTTAGCATGTTATTCTTCTCAAGGTAGGCCTCCTAAAATATGTGTGGAGAAAAATAATCCCTATGCTCTACTCTGCTTAATGGATCTTTCTTGGTGGAACACAAGCGTGCAGATGTTTTGGTTTTACAGAAATAAAAAAATAAAAAATACAGAAATAAAAAAAAGTTCACCTTTTCTGTCTTCATCCTTCCTTAGCTTTTCTGTTTCTTTTATAGCAAACGTTCTGCAGTTGTCTGTGCTACTGCTTCTTGTCCCTGTTTTCCTCCCATTCTCTCTTGAAGCCTCTCTAATTGGGCTCACTCTTGCACATTTCACCATCTCGTCTCCCATAGAGATTGCCAGCGATCTCTGATACGGAGACTTGAAGGTCAGATCGCCTATCACTGGTTTCATCCTTTGACACAACCGAGCACTCTATCCTTTGAAATGCTTTTGAAGCTTCTGTTCCTCTCGCACTTGCCTAGACCTGGTCGGTCTGTTTCTGTATTCCCTTCATAGTCCAGCGGTATCCCGGAGGCTCAGCTCTCTCTGAGCTGTGGTTCCTTGCTTCCTAGTGATCTATGCTATCTAATGAGTTGAAGTCTCCCTCTGTGTGCTGCAGAATCCACCATTTGCAGCCATGAAGCTCTTTTCTAGAATCACAGGCTCTATTATACATTGCTGCTTGAATAAAATCAGAAAGATTTATTCAGGGATTGACAATTACCGTCTTACACCTACACCCAAAATGTTGCAGGCTATCTCAGATACTTTTCTCTCTCCTTTGTCTGACTATGATTCCTAAGCAAATTATGGTCCTTGTGGTTCAGAATATGGTAACTGCACTCTTGAGCTCTTTTGTCAGATTTTACTGCCTACTGTTTCACCAAAGCGTTATTGTCAAGGTCACTAATGAGTCCACTCTGCTAAAGCTATTGGTTTCTTTTCCTTCTTAACAATTTTCAGTCCTCCTTTTACTTGACATGTCATCAACATTTGACAGTTACTGTACATCCCTCCATGGATTTCACCTTTTGTCTTGTAAGAAATCAAATTATTTGACTTCACTTTTATCTCAATAATTTACTTCATCTCCATCTCCTATAGTTTGTTCTTCTTTCCAGATTTTCTCAACATTTTACTATTGTAGGGTTCAATTTCTATGTTCTTTTCTTCTTTAATATATATTTACTTGTTTGGAACAGGTATACAACCTTATGGTTTTCAATGCAATGTACAACCCAGTAAGTTTCTGATTTCTATATTAATTCTAGGCCTCTCTCTTACAGCCCAGACTCGGGCCTCCTACAATCTACCTGAACTTTCCATTTAGATGTCTAGTAGATGCATCACACTTGTGATCTAATTCTGCACAGTCTGTTCTAATTTTGCAAACTTTTCTATGACGCTGGGCAGAAATTGTATTGCAGAGTTGCTCAAATACAAAACAAACTTGGACAAAAGTCCTTTATGTTCTTTTCTGCTACACTTTCTATGTCCATGATATCAGGAAATCCCATGGAATTTACTTTCAAATGCTTTCAGTTCTGGCAATTTTCCTAAGTTCTACTCCTGTCGCTCTGACACACCAGCATCTCTCAAGTACAACAGCTTCCCACTACATCAGCGACTTCATGTGCCTTCCCAACAGCCCAGGGGTGGCCGACCTTTCAGAGCTTCAGTCCTTAAAAATAGCCTGCTGCGGCATGCGTGCCATAGGTTCATCAGTCCTCATCAGTGATGCTGTATTTTTTACTCGGATTGAATGAATGTATTAAAAGATAAGATTTAAAATATGAACCCTCCAGTATTTCTCCATTTCTGTCGGGGTATTTTTCATGATTTGAGCCTCCCAGTTTTTCTTCAAACTCATACACTTTTTCTGAACTTTGTTCTGCTATTGCCTCAATAGTTTTTGAAGTTTTGCATATAATGCTTCAATCAGGAAATAATTAAGGGTAAGTGAGGTCCTAAGATTTGTAGTGTGGTTTCAGTGTCTGCCTCTGTCTCTGTCTCTGTCTGTCTCTGTCTCTGTCTCTGTCTCTGTCTCTGTCTCTGTCTCTGTCTCTCTGTCTCTCTCTCTGTCTCTCTCTCTGTCTCTCTGTCTCTCTCTCTGTCTGTCTCTCTCTCTGTCTCTCTCTCTCTGTCTCTGTCTCTCTGTCTCTCTCTGTCTCTTTCTCTCTCTGTCTCTCTCTCTGTCTCTCTGTCTCTCTGTCTCTCTGTCTCTCTGTCTTTCTCTGTCTCTCTCTCTGTCTCTCTGTCTTTCTCTGTCTCTCTCTCTGTCTCTCTC